GAAAAGAGTAGTAACAATAATACTCTGTCTGGAGCTGTCTCAACAGGATGCGTCGCTTTATTGTCCTTGGCAATCAGGACCCAAGTATTCTCGTGAAGACAACTGACTGCCGCTTTTCAGGAAGTCTCGTCCGGTCAATGTAACTACAGGGTACCCTGCACATGACCCTATATGAAGCAAGAGCTCTCAAAACAAACCCCATACAGTTCTAGGTTTCGGGGAACTCTGCAAGGTCACAAACTAGCTGCATTTGATCCGAAGTCGACGTCTTCAGTTCGCTCTTAAACCTGTAAACCTGAATCAGAAAACACTTGACTGCGAAACCTACACTCTAAACGCTAGACCTCAACGAACAGCCAAAACGGTAGAGCCTTAAACTTGGCCATATCCATGTTTACACGGACCTTTTCATGTAGTGTCGGCCACCACCTGCTCTGTACCTGAAGCTCCTGAACCCCAGGCTTGTGCTCCAAGATACCAATCACAACTCTCTTCTTCAAGAGACCCTGGGTTACCAACGCGTGAGAACTACTTCTCAAGTATTGCTGTGAGTTTACATAGGGTGATCCTGGGGATGAATCATAATAATTGGTAACTCCAGGGGTTTCTGTGGGCAGAATGTGCCAGAATCATGGTCCCCATGCGTGGATCCTGCTATTCACCTGAGATTAAAAGAGGTAGATCCCCAAACCTGGCTTTCTCTAGGCTTGAAATGTGGTTTTCCTACAATTAGTGATACCTTTTTGGGGGTCCCCATAATAAGGATTATAGTATATTGGGCTCTATATTGGGGTTCCCCTATTTTGGGAAATTACAAATGAGGACCAAGTAGAAGAGGCACACCTCAGCATGAAAAAATTCTGAACTTCCTTCTTTCAAGCACCACAGCGATCCCCCCTCTACCTCAACACATCCTTGACACCCATGGGAATGGCTTCTCTAGTTTCCAGCTGTGGTCAAAAAGTCCATCTTCAACTACGATGCGATTGCTATCATGATTATTAGTGCTACTGCTAATACAAGTTGTGCATTAGGAGTACTAAATATGACGACCACGTCGACCATGATTAAAAAAATGTGCTCAAAGTTGCTGTAACTATTACTACTGAAGTACCTTTGCCGCCAGAACGGTTGCTGTGATTGCTGCGCACAGGACAAGTGTCTGCTAGTCTCTGCTAGCTAGTGCTGATTGCTGAGAATGGTAGTCTGCAGTCATAAAACTCTAGCGTTTGTGTCCCAGAAAACAGAGTGACAGAAGCAGTTGAAAATACCTGTGGTCATCCTAGTCGTCGTCAACATCCACCATGGGCACGGTAGCAATGTCTCTCACCACCATTATCTCTTTCCCCATCTTCAACTCCATCAACACCGTCAACACTACCACCTGCTCAGTTTGGCACAGTTAAGCAAAGTGTGGCCCGGCTTTTGTGATCCCGGCATGTGAGCTATTGTGCCAAGGGAGGGTTTCAGTACTTCTGCAATGTAAGGTTCTACGGCAATTAAAAGACTTATTATGCTTCTACGTTCAGCAATATTCTGGCAGCGGTTGATGGCATAATGCATGAGGAGAGGGATCGTTCCTCGTCTGGGGTGACACACTGCATGAAAGGGATATGCATTAGAATGGCAAAGACAACTTCTTGAACCCATTTTCGGAAAACTCCTCCCAGGTCTCTCTTGGAGAGAGCCGGGGTGAACTCTGGGTTCAGGGTTTAGGGTGTTCTCCACACCCTCTGAGTTTACGTCTATTTCCAAGCCAGAGATTTTAGTCGCAGAACATTACATTTGAATTAAGATATTTCGAACTAAGACATCCGTTGTTGGCGGCCCTTTTGGCAAGGCAGGTACCCTGAACCCTAAATAGGAGTTTGCATTTTCTTTTCCATGATCCCAGCTTAAAACCCATTCATCCCTATATATAACCCCAAAAACCGTATAAACTAACCTATAATCCCAGCTTCCAATTTCATGTTCCGTGTTCTGTTCCATTTGGTTCTCCATGTTTATTGGGGATAAGTTATATCCCTATATATAACCCACCCTAGACCTTAAACCTGCATATGGGAGTAGGCCTGAAATACTGTTCCTCAAGTGGCAGAAATTCATATGGGCCTCGTATTCTAGTAGGAACCTAAATTTCATCACCCGCTATTGCCTGTAATTTAGGACAATCCCCATATAAAAGCGGTACACCAGCATCTCAGATCTCAAATACAGATTCTGTTTCCTCGCGGTCCATGGAAGTCTCCTGGGACCCCGCCGGGTCCTCAGCTTCGGATGCAGGGTGCAACCTTTCTTGAGGTTTTTGTAGGGTTTAATCATGGCCTAGGTATTCAAGTGACTGGGGTTTAGAGTCTAAGGTTTGAGAGTCATGCTTTTGGGCTTCGGCCCTGGGACGTAGGCTAATGAGCGTTCTAGTTTGAGGGAGGTGAGTACCCTAATCATGGTATGGCATGGCTATCGAAGCCTTCGGCATACTATGCAACACCTTTTCTTCAAGCATGATTCCTTCCGCCCAGGATCTCCATGGCGTTTTGCAGGATCCGACTTCACCAAAAGATTCGGGCTTGGGCGCTGGCGAAAGACAGCGACTGTAAGCAACAGCAACAGCAAGAATGGAAGCAAAGGAAGCCAGCTTTTGTCACCTCCATGGTTGTATATCAGCATAAAGCCAGCCCACATGAAGGTGGCCCAGGCTATCACTACAAGTGATAGCACCAAGGACAGGCACAACCTCAAGTAGCATCCAGTGTGCAGCAAGCGTGTCATGCGAAAGCCATAGTAACAGAGGAACATGTCCAAGCGAGTTGTCATCACGGCCAGCATGGGAATGTATGCCCACTTGAGCAAAGCGCGACTAGCCCAAACTGCAGTCTCTGCCCCAGAGAAGCTGGCGGGTGATCCCCTGGCTAAATAGACGATCAAGTCGGATATCCAAGGCAGGTTGCAACTGGCAGCCAAGAAGAAAGTATATCCTCAAATGTCATGGACATGGACATGGCAACATATTTACTTGCATGGCCTGGGCTTTAGCACTTCAGACTTACCCTAAACCCTAAACCCTAAACTCCTAAACCCCAAAACCCCAAAACCGATTTCGGGCTACAAATAGGAATTCACAGTCCAAGTGCATGGGCCAAGCTCTAAGGTCACCCAGAAAGTTCAGAGCTTATTCGTAGGATTGGCAACCTGGGGTTATATAGGGAGAATGGAAAAGAAAATGGGAACTACTATAGTTTAGGGCTTGGGTTTAGGGTTTGGGGTTTAGGGTTTCGGGTTTAGGGTATAGTATATTGGGGTTATATGGGGACAATGGAAAAGAAAATGGAAACTACAGGGATTATATAGGGATTATACAGGGGTTATAGGGTTATATTGGGGTTATATTGGGGTTATATTGGGATAATGGAAAACAAAATGGAAACTACTGTAATATTGGTGTTATATAGGAGTTATATTTGGATAATTGAAAATGGAAACTACGATAATACTGGGGTGATATAGGGGTTTGCCGAGACTCCAATGGGCAGGTTATCCTCTCCAACATTCTTCAGCACAGCGGGCGCCAGCTGATCCCTCACGAGGCCATTGAAGTCGTCCAGGTGTTGTGTGGTTGTGTCTCCTCCAGTTGGTGTGGTCGAGCATTGGCTGTGTGGATACTGGGGAGTGTTGCAGAAAAGGCGGCTTCTTTGCAGCGCTTGGAGTTGACGCTTGCGATTGGATTTTTCTGGGTGACACTGCAGGGGGCTAAATGGTTTTATTCCTATGCTGCCCGATATACCCCTTTTTATCGCAGTAATGTCCAGCTTCCTTTCCATTATTCCTAATACACTAGACCTGATCCACGATAGGCGGTACACGCAGCGGAGCGTGCCGAGACAGGGACCCAAAAAAAAGGTAGGCACAGAGATTTGGGGATTTCCCAAAATTAGGGGTACCTTGTTGGGGATCCCTACAAAATGGACTATATTTTATTGGGGTCTATATTGGGGTTCCCTTATTTTGGGAAACTTCCATGTAGAAGCAAGATGCCATATCCATCCATGAGCCCCCCATCAACCAATCGCTGGTTATCTGTAAACTCAGCCTTGTTGAAAGCCTCCAACACGCTGATATTTGCAAACTCCATGAGCACTTCCCCTAAACCCTAAACCCCAAACCCTAAACCCCAAACCCCAAACCCCAAACCCTAAACCCCAAACCCTAAACCCCAAACCCTGAACCCCCAACCCCAAACCCCAAACCCTAAACCCCAAACCCTGAACCCTAAACCCCAAACCCTAAACCCTAAACCCACTCTGCAAGCGCAATCTGGGCAAGCTCCTGGCCGGCCTAGCCACTGCTGAAGAGTGGAAAACCTTGATTGCCGTGGAATTTTGGGGGGCGATGTAGGGTTATATAAGCTTATATAGGGCTATAGAAGCTTCTATGGGGTTATATAAGCTTCTATAGGGTTCTAAAGGGGTACATAGGGTTATGTAGGGATATACATTTGCCATGTGCTTTCAGGGGCGGGCAGGATTACGGTCGGAACCTCAAAACGTGGTCCTGCAGGACTGACTCGTGGTTTAGGGTCCCGGTATCTGGTGAGGAGCCACAGTTACTAAGTTGACTATCATTACCATTCTCGGGTTTAGGTTGTTTAGGGTAGAGGGTTTAGAGTATAAGGTTTACCCTTCAACAAGGCAACCACCCAAGGCAGCCAGGCGACACAAGCTCTCGATCACAGGGGATGGTCTCATCCGTTTCAGGGTGACGATGATGATGCCAGCAGCATGCACTGTGGGCGTCCTCTGCAGAGTCACTTTTCAGAAGGTCTCCAAATGAGCCAGATACTCTTAAATGTAACCCCTTTAAGGAGTTTAGACAGGGAGAAGAGGAATATTCATATAACTTTTGTGTTGCCACACCCTGTAGTCCTGGATGCGAAAGTTCGAGAGTTGTTCCGGCATCAGCGACTGGTCTTCCTTGCAGCTACAGTACACAGGAGAGCCCCCATGCTAAGAGTGCTTGACTAAGGCTCTCATTTCAACAGGGTGCTCGTTTACATTGAAGCCTGCACCAGGCCGAAAAAGAAAAAAACAACGCTTTTGAACAACCCTGGCATTTAAACACTGAAAACTGGCAAGACAAGCTTCCATCATTCCAATCCCCACGTAATAGGTGTAGGGTACCATGGCTCCTGATTTGAGCTATCTGCGCAAATGGACAGGCATCGCATGAGTTCTGCATGCATGCATTCAGAGCTATGAAGTTTTCTCTAGGCATCCATCCCTAGAGCGTATGATGACTGCATTCTCTGATGGGCAGATTTTGGAAAGGACCCTGCCCTCGTTACACCAGGCTCCTGCGCAGAGCACGCAAGGCACAGTCACAGCAAGGGTTCGACTTAAGGCTTCCAGTTCCTCATCCGGATCCGAAACACGTGAGACTGTGTGCCAAACGGCCACCATCACAAACCATTTGGTTACGCTGATGCATAGCAGAAGCGCCAGCTTCACCGGCATCACTTGAATTTGAGCTCTGTTGTCCTTCTTCCGGAGGAATGTGCTGATTTCATAGATGCACCTTACACGTTCTAACAACTCTTCCAGCAAACCTTCCACAAGCAAGAAGCCTCTCTGCTTTGCTGCTATTGACAGAAAGCCCAAGCCCTTTCCAAGCGCCGCAGAGCAACCAAAGGCGTGTAAAGTAGCGAGGTGACCAGAGTACAGTGAGCTCATCCGAGCGCTCAAGGAAAGCAGCTAGTCCCATGATGCCCTGCTCCTCCAAGGTAAGGCTTTCCACCCAAGCTTCATCTTGCATTGAAAAACGTGGAGTTTACATAATAACTTATTCAAGAAGGGCTACCCAAAGCTTGCTCAGAGTCCTTCAAACCCGAGTCGTGCTGGGCTATGCAGATCTTGTCCTTAACTCTGCCAAGTACACAGGCCACCGTGTTCTCAGCAAAAAGTGAAACAAAGCACAGACAAATGCTTTGCAACTAAAGGCATGCAAGCATCAAGGAAAACAGTTCGGGGCCTGAAAACTGCACGAATTCGCTGCCAAAAGCCGAAAAATACCAAAAACGTCGCATGACCTCGGAAACGCATGAGAGCTATAGTCTAAACTCCTTAAAGGGGGTTATATAGGGGGATTATATAGGGGACTTAGGGTTTATTAAGGGGGATACTAGGAGTTTAGACAGTGGCTCATGAGCTGAAAATCACCCAAAGCTCTTGTCTACACGTATCATGTGTAGGCAAGTTGTTTTACACGCGCATTTCACGTGGGACGCAGAGACTCTCAAACAATACTCCAATGGAATCTTTGGTAACGCTGACCCTCCAAAGAAGGACCCCTATGGCTAAGTGTCATATGACCGTGCCTCGACGATGGGGTCCTTTTCTTGTTGATTGCAGTCAAATGACAGCCAAATCACCCAAAGTAAGCCCAGGAACAAAAATTCAAAAAATCTATGCCGTCACATGCAACCTTTTGGTAGGCATCAAAATCGTATTCAAAAATGGAAGGAGCTGCCCAAGAACGCGGTCCATGCCTGATCTGGCAATATGCCCCAGACGCGCAGAATGCCCACCTTGCTTGCCCAATTTCCGTGGGGAGTAGGAACAATGGAAGTACTACTACTACTACTACTGCTACTACTACTACTACTGCTACTGCTACTGCTACTGCTACTGCAAGTACTACTGCTGCCACTTCTACTCCTCCTACTCTTCGTCGCCAGCAGCAGCAGCAGCGGGAGTAAGAGTAGGACTGGGAAAAATAGTAATAGTAGGAGGAGCCGTGGCAGCAGTTTGAAAACAAACCTTTGCCCAACAAAAGGCAAAGACTGCTTACTGGACTTCCAAGCCACAAGCACACTTGCGACGAAGGTGGCGCTTGCGGCTGCCCTGGAATTGAAAATCACCAGAAGAGCCGCGAGCTTCAGCCAACGAGATGTCCCCCAATCGTGGCTGAGAAAATTGTCGAAATGGGTTGTTGGTTCACTCAGTCTGTAGCTGTCACTCCCTTCCTTGGCTTCTTGTGCAACACTGGGTTTAGGGTTTAGGGTTTAGGGCTGTTCAGATATCAGGAAGATGGACGATACTGCTAGCTCTGGTCATATGCCAGAAACCTGCCTCAAACCATTGCAGAAGAAATCTGTTTGTTTCCATAAGCAGGGGACCCCGTTATAGCCGCAAAATGCTATAATCCTTGTTATGGAGATCTACCCCTAATCTTGGGGAACCCCTATCTATGGCCTGATGATATCCAGGACTCCTTCGTCTGGAACATACCTTCAGGACAACAGAAACTGATTGCTGTCAAGGAACTTAATTCAAGTTACTATATTGGGGGAACCTTATTAATTAACTCTATATATATACCAATTATGGTACCGTAATTTAGGGATCTTAACAGCAACCCAGGAAAGCATGAGTGTCTTACCTAAAGGTCCTGTTCTGTACACCCAGCTGGGATATGTCTCATGTTTCTGCGGCTTAGAGGTTCTTCCAAAGGGCTTCAACCTTAGCTACTCCCCTAAACCCTAAATCCTAATCCCTAAAGCCTAAACCCGAGACCCTTAGTTGGTCCGAAAGTTTCTGGGTTCAAGGCCTATGTGAGGTGGCTTCACCATGAAAGGGTGCAGTAGTACTCTCCATTTTCTTTTCCAGTATTCCTATATAGTCCCTATATAATCCCATATAACCCCAATAGTCCCTAATAATCCCTACTTAACAATATAACCCCTAAGCCAGCAAGAACAATTGCGAAAGTCAGCCTCACCTCAGATTTTCCCACTAGTTCTATCTTCGCGTGCAGCGTCTCAAGCTCAACAAGCTAAAGAGCTGCTACGATGTATGTTTGTTTTTGTTGCTGCGCCATTACTTTGTGTCCAAAGGCCCCTACCACCACCCACCCAATCACCCTGAACGCTGGCCCCTACTCTTTGACCCCATGCCTCCGGATGAAGTGGCCCAGTGCTTGGCCCATCCACTCAGACAGACGTGCAGGGGAACCCCACGTAAGAGCTCCGCAGCAATCTCAACCTCTCGCATTTGAGGCTTAGGCGAAGCGCCAAGGGTTTGAGGATGAGAGTCTAGGGCCTGAGCTTGGGGTTGGCGGCTTAGAGTTTGGCCGCAAGTTATTCAATCAGGCCTCAAAGTACACAGCCCCTACCACCCACCTGGCTTATTGAGCACAATCTAATCTGCTGTAACCGATCCCGAAGTAGCCAACCGATATTCATGGCGTCACTGGCCCTTAGAAGTCATCATCGCAAGGCTTCTACAGGTGTGACTGCTTTAGCATTTCAGGTTTATATTCCAGGTTCGACTACAGGTTTAGAATCTTGAGCACCCTAAACCCTAAATCCTAAAACCTGAACCAAGGTAGGCCTTAAAAGCCTTGCCATGACAGCACTCCCTACTTTTTGATAGGCTCTTGAGAGACTACCGTAATATTGGTTCCACATTGGGGTTATTGAGAAAATCAAAGTCTGTATTGGGTTTATTTGGGGCTTTAGGGTAACAATTACAAAGCTATGATAAAGCACGGAATCACGCTAGGAAGCTCATTTTTCCCGGCCCTGCCTGCAGCGACCTCTCGGAAACTGCACTGAGGGGACGATCGGCGAGATGTGGGGCTGACCCATCGGCCATGGCTCTCCAAAAATGGAGCTTAGCAGCTTTGCGAAATGCTTCTTACAACACACTCAAACAAGGCGCAAGGTTATTATAGTAGTTTCCATTTTCTTTTCCATTATCCCAATCTAACCCCAATACATCCCCTATATAACTCCTATATAACCCCTATATAAGCTCTATATAATACAGTATAACCTCTATATAATACAGTAGTTTCCATTTTCTTGTCGATTATCCCCATATAACCGTCATGTACGGCGCAAAGGAACCCCTCCCAATCCCTCGATCTGGAGTTTGGTTCCTTATGTCGAACTAGCTGACTGGAGGCAGCTCAGGGCAGCACAATTCCTGTTCTTGTTCCTCATCTTCTTCTTGCTTTCATGTTGCGGGTCCGTCTATTGCACAAAGAATAGAAACCGGCTGATTCATCAAAAGAGGTTGCGAGAATGGATCTATTCAGCCTTCGGATGGCCACTATCTCCTGCAGACAAGTTCATACATCAGAAGCACTGGCATGGGAGCTTCCACCCTCCCCATCTTTCGTTTTAATGCCTTGGAAGCAAGCTCTGGCTACTACAGGGCCCTAAATAATTGCAACTATCATTTGGAAGTCCATTTGAGGTACCACATATTAGAATTACACAATGAATATGGAACCATAATATTGGTATAATTATTTAGGCCCCTATAGTAGTCGGAGCTGGCTGCATCGGGCACGAGATCGGCAGTAACTTCACTACGTGGTAAGATGAGTCAGCCGAACCCCCGTGAACAGAGAGGGAGCGCAGGGATGCCCGGCACTGGACCTTGACATGCGCTAGCATCCCTGCAAGAAGACCTCAGTGCCTTGCACTTGAAAGACCCTGCGCGCTCATGAAGCCACCCTCAACTCAAACTCGGTCCGGCTGCTGACAAGAAGGAAAACCGAACTCCGTGCTGAATACTGGATCCCCCCTGAACTCTAGATTGCTGCAGCATCTGGCGAGAACGGGGAATGCACTGTTGATCTTGCGAATTGCAGAATAAGTAATGAATTTCGCAGCTGAAATTGCAGCAGAGTCAGTGCATGGGAGTTTCTTCAAATAAGATTACATAGGGACATAGGGCTGAAAAAGCATGACCTCAAAGACGCAACCCCACAACAGCTCTAAATCACAATCTGCGCCGTCTGTGCGAGCTCTCTCCGAGTCCCGCACAAAGGTCAAAGTCGCACTCCTGTGTGAAATAAAGCGATTGCTGAAAACCGGGGCCCCCAGCAAAATCTGGGTAGTGCAGATAGGGGTCTCTACTAAGGACTCAACGAAGTTGATTCCAGAACCTCTCATACAGAGTGTTGGATCATAGACGGGCTGGAGATTATGTACGATGTTAAGAGATGTTGTTGTTGCTGAGAACTGAGAGGCCGCAAAGCCCTTTTCTGCTTCTAAGACCATCGCGCTGGAGGACAAGTTGTACCTGGGTCTCGGATTGAACATGAGGCTGCAAGGTTCAGGGTTTAGTTTAGGGCTTGGGTTCAGGGTTTAAGCTTAGGGTTTAGGGTCTAGGGCGCGGGGTTTAGGGTTCGGTTGCAAACTTGTAAATCCTTCCCAGGAGTCATGGGTCCTAAACCTTCCTATCTCCCAGCTCAGTTTTTACCCTGAGCCAATGGTGCCTGAAACTCCCCTCACAAAACGCATTTCAATTTCTCAACACGGAAACCACGCAATGCCTTGGAAGAAGAAACTGCTTCACCCCAAACCTTAAGCGACTTCCCTCACCACTTCGTTACTGCCCCCCCCCCCTCAGTAACAGTTGGATAATCATTAGAATATGGTTATATATAGCCCTTAATAGGACTCCTAATATAGACTGTTAGTGGGTTGGGGCAGTACCCAACTCACCACCCTTAACCCAAAGTCTGCAAAGGAAATCTCAAATAGCCGGAGCTCCACTCCCACCCGGCTTCTCAGGCTATGAAGAAGATGTGTTGAGGTCATGTGCTCCATTGATACACCCCCCCAAAAGAACAAATACCTCCAATATGCTACCACTAAAATCAAAAAGATATACCTTATTCAGGGTTAAACCCTAAACCCTAAACCTCTCAGGGCTAAGCTTCGCCTCGCACCGAAACCGCTGCAAGTGCGACGTGTCGTGCTCCTCCCCAACAGCTCAGGAATGAAAGGCCAATCATTC